TCAAACTCAGCTCCCCCCGAAACAAAATCCTGGCTACGGGCCTGGTCTGGGGCGACTTGAGAAACTGCAAGTCTCTTCTGGTGTGATAGAATTGGCCGTCTGCAAAGACGTAACCCCGAGGACACTCAGATGTTGTGACCTAACCGGTTTAGGTCCAGGCTATTTGACAAATCGTATCTCCCTCTATAGACCAACTCTGACACTGCGGTCATTGGAGGAGGTCCTCCTCTCAGTTCCAACTCTGTCCAAAGAACGACTGGTGGGAACGAGCTAAGCAATGTAATTTCCCCAGTGGTGTAGGGCGCAGACACCCGTGATAATGTGGCATGTCTCATTAAGAGCCACATCCACTGTTTTAGCGTGGTGAGATGTGTTCCATACTGGGCATGCATACTCAGCAGCAGAGTAGCATAGCGCAAGGGCAGATGTCTTCACTGTGTCTGGTTGTGATCCCCAGGTTGTGCCAGTCAGCTTTCGTATGATATTATTTCTAGCGTCCACTTTTTCCTTGATATTCAGGCAGTGCTTCTTGTAGGTCAGAGCACAGTCCAGCATGACTCCCAGGTATTTGGCTGTGCTGCAATGCTCCAGTGGGATTCCTTCCCAGGTAATCCTCAGAGCTCGGGATGCTTGTCTGTTCTTAAGGTGAAAAGCACATGTCTGATGGATTAGGGATCAGCTGGTTTTCCCCGTAATAGGCGGTAATAGCACCTAGAGCTTCGGAGAGCTTCTATGATGATGATGATCATTATGATTATGGCTATCTATCGGGGGTGCTGTGAATGCCATTTTCCTGCTTCTTGCCAGGGGGTTGGACTGGATGTCCCATGAGGTCTCTTCCAACTCTATGATTCTATGGTTCATTCCCCCTCAGATTTCCCCAAACTGCCTGGAGATGAAGCCTTGCACCCTCCAGATCTGATGGTGTGTTCCTGCCTGTCAGGAGGAGGAGGAGGCCTGGAGGGGATCCCTTCCTAGGAGCTCAAGGAGAGAGAGGGGGGAGGGG